TATCGAGCACAGATATAATGCAGAATTCCATCGGCCTGCCATGATCACTGTTGTCGAGTTCGTGAATATCCACTAGCAAAACATAGACACACCTTCGTACCTGACTAAGCTGGAGCAGGCAGTAGAGGGACCTCCTGATCGCGGTGATCACACACTTCGGTGGCCTTCCTTCCGTACAATACTTGTGTATAAAATGCCAACCTTCTGCTAGTAGATCCCCCAACTGAACTGGGTTGAATTTTCGCTAACGGATACCTTCTGCTAACAAGCCACACACGACCTACAGCCACTATTTGCTTGCACAGCTGAGAGAAGTACGGAAAGTCACCTTTTGAATGGCGATTGGTGTAGTTTTTTTTACTCCCTCGGGCTGCTGTTGTGATTCGGTTAACAGAGTTACATACACACACTCGTTATGGGAATTCCATACGTGTCTCGGTTTCCAGTGACAGAATGTATTGATCGGTTTATTTGCAAAAGAAAAAAACACACAGATCTAAACAATATCTGGAAGTATTTCGTATCGCGTTGCAATACCCAGAGGGGCGCTTTCGGTAAATAGAACATGCCAAATCAAAGCCAAGTATACTTTCTTAGTGATTGGACGCGAAGTTGGGTCCCATGTGGGTAATTCCATTCGATTAAAGGGGTAGTCGGTATATGGTGCGATGAATAGACTTCCTCTTCCTGGGAATTTATTTTATCGTTTATCTTTTATCGCGGACGTCCTCCTTCAATGGGCATATTGTTTGCAAACAACAAAAAGTCTGGTACACAGGATAACTTTCAAGGCGTCTAGACTGACGGGTTCGGTTAATAGGCGACTAAACTGGAACTCAAATAAACAATGCAATACATATAAATATAGACTCGGGTCCACTCTCTTGCCTCCGCACTGCTGTGACTCAGCCTCGGGCGCCCGAAGGGCGAGTCCCTGTGTATAATTAAAAAATGCCATTGAGGGCAGCATAACAAACAGGAACGGCAATATGCGAGGGGTAGAAGCTGGACATTGAGTCTAATATAAACCGTGTAGTCGTGCCGATATAAAAATTAAATCGGCAAAATTCACACTAAAATGTGCCCATTGGGGGGGTACTCACTGTTTCGGTTAATGAGCGACTCAATAATCGGTAATATTTTGCTACGATGAAGAATACATGCGATCGGGTCCATTTATGACTCAGCCTATGATACAGGCAAAGAATAAAGCCTATGTTTTGCGGTACTTTGGAACTATTCTAACGAACTTGTGGTGATTATGAAAACACCGAGGTTGGAGAAATTGTACTTTTGTAACGATATCGGTGTATATAGTCTCAGACAACTAACAAATTTATATTTAAATAAATACATTTTATTAGTTGTCTGAAGTATAATGTAGCTACTTAAATATCAACATTGTCACACATTCGGGGGGCTCGGTTGGTACCAGCAACTACGAGTATATGGTTAATACATTGCATTAACGTGGTGCGTCCGATGAGATAGCAAGAATACTCTAGCACTATAAAAACACATTCATTTTTTCTGACAACAACTGTAATGCAGCACCATATACTATATAAATCAAATTATATAGTTCTTTATCCAAATCGGTTTCAATTTGTTTAGTTTCAGTGTGGACAGCAGAACTGACTTCGAACGGAACCGGAGCCACTTATTTTTTTATCAAGATTGCCAAGCTATAACACCGTTTTCGCGGAAAGTGTGTTTAATTTGCAGTAATATAACTTTTCTTTCACATGTACATCTAGAGAAACCAGCACACTTAATCTGACAAAATTAAAATAGGAATCCAGTGATGTAAACGTATGATCCCTGTCTCAGGCCACAAAGGGAAGTAACTAGCGAACCATCCCAAGAGCAGCTTCTAAAGCTAACTTTGAGGGCAGCATACTCAAATAGAACAGATTTACGAGCACGTCGCCTAAAAGTGGGATAGTCTACTTAGAATAGTTTGCTACGATTAAAAAACAAATACTCAGAAATATTTTAAATCCAGCAAGAATGGTTAGGTTGATGTAATGTTCAAAATTCCTAAATAAAAATATAGGGTCGCCGACCTCAAAAACGACTACAACAATTTATTAAAAATGCGTTTTTCGACTAGTTTACAATTGGTTCATGTGGCTGAAACATTTCATCATCTCAATTTTTTTTGGAAACCTATACTAAAAATGATATGTAGTATTATGAGGGATACATATGGCTGTCATGAAAAATCGGAGAATTTTGAATATTAGTATAAGTTATCCATTAAATAATGTGTTTACATGGATTTCTATGGAAGACGGACGTTTCAAAATGGCAGCATTTTAGATTATTTTGCATATGTTTTTTTTAGAAACACACCATTCTTACTCCGTAAAAACTTTAAATATGAATGACGTGCATGCACCTGAATCATCACAAAACATTTTTTTGAATGATTTACTGTTTACTAATAATAAACTCCACTTAGCGTTATTGATTTTCGCGTAACCTAACGAACTTTGCACCACAGTCCCTCTATAGACCGGACTATAGACTGTCTATAGAGGGACTGTACTTATAAACTATGACCTTTTCGATTTTTTTTTGTTTTGTTTACGACGGCTCAACGTAATTATTTTCTAACTATGATCCCTATTTCACACGGCATTAAAAAAATCTTTATAACTTTACGAACTTTGCACAGATGTTTACCTACTTCCCACGTAACTTTTCACTTAAGTCAACAACTCGAGAATGAGGGCGCACAACATTTGTTTGACTGAAGTTGTTTGAACAGGGGTTTTTGAATCATTCGTTTAAACCCCTGTCTATCACGATAAATAAAGTGTTGTCTTGGACGGAACAAATTTATCAAGAGAATAAGGTATTAAATTCGCACACTTTTATTTGCAGGTGTGAAATCTTACAACTTTCAGAGTACGCTCCCACATGCCTAATATGAATTGGTTGCATAACTTCGTAAACACAGGATGTACTGGTATATTGCCAGCCAATAAGCTAACCTACGCAATTTGCATATTATCAACTGGACACCTTTCAACGCAAATAATGTTAATGTATTAACTCATAGACCCTCCAGTAGATCTACTGAAGGGTCTATGATTAACTGTTTTAACTTTATTTGTTTGTATAACAACGCGTATATGTTTTACTGAGATATATTCAATGTGCACATACACGTGACGTGCGAGATAACTTTTCTTGAAACTGCAGATCAACGTCCATTCTGTGCTGATCAGATGCATATCGGGCAATGAGTGAGAGAGGGTTGCTCGGAACATAAATAGATTCTAAGATTGTCCTGTAGAGGTCGTAGCGGCAACGTTAATTATTTTTACGTTATCAACCTTGCATGCAAGTTTACCGACTTTCTGTGCGTAACTTTACCAGCTTTGCACACATTTTTTCTACTTTCCACATTATGGCTTTACAGACTTTCCACGTAACTTTCTAACTTTGCAATCAAGTTTACCGTGACAGAAATTCCACGTTGCATTGCAGACTTTGCACGTAAATTTAATTGCTTTGCACGCATGTTTACTTTCTTTCCATGTAGCTTTACAGGATGTCCACGTAACGTTTCTCATATAAATGCATACAAATACTGTAAAACATGTTGAAAAAGCGGCATGCAATTTTAGCGAATTGTGGTAAAATGAAGTAATAGCGAAATGTTGATTTAGCGAATCATTGTTGATTTCTTTGTTTGGCGGCCATTTTGAATGTACAATAAAGTCATTAGCGACATTTTGAATTAGCGAATCAGTTCTCTCGCTAAATTCGCGAAAAAGACATGTTTTACAGTATACAGACGTTCCGCTGGCGTTACAGACTTTTTAAAAAAAGTTTATCAGCCTTACAGAAAACTATACAAATTCCACTTTGCATTACAGTTTTTACAAATTTTTACTTACACAACACTAATATCTCAATATTTATTTTTATTAGCCCAGTAATCGGAGATCCTGCACAGAGCTTTAGCCCATGGCCACCTGTCCATGCAGAAGTCGGAGATGTTGTTCTACCAGCAAATTACGTACTACAGTTATCGCCTGGAAAAGAAGTAGCAGCTGTGAAAAAAACATAGAACTCTTTTCCTGATTATGTAAAAATGGAATGTATCTATTTTCCTGTATTCTGAATCATACTTTTAATTTTTAAAAGTCATAAAATTTACTAGAAAATAATCTGAATTAGCCCAAACTGCAGCACAAACTATAGTTGTCATAATGCAATTAAAATTGCATGATAAATTTGAACACAGCCAGAAGTTTCACATAAATAGCTGCAAATATGTCTCTCTCATATTAAATTGAAATCGTTGAGATTTGAAGCGAAATGTATATTTAAAATTTGACCTGACTGTCCGAGAAGAGCGCCACCAAGTTTAATTTTTTTACACGTGGAAACTGGTCGAGAACGAGGTACTTATAACCTATGACCTTTTCGATTTTTGTTTTTGTTTACGACGGCTCAACGTAATTATTTTCTAACTATGATCCCTATTTCAGTTTCATTATACTCCGTTAAACCACGTTCGATTCCTTGTAGGATGATATGTTCGAGTACTGGCTGAGGGCCACGGTCCGATTTTTTCGACCCACACTAAACCCGGTCAAGACTCGAACGATAATTTTCGTCATTTGGATCGAGCTTTTACTTGACCGGATATTGGTGACAAGTTTTCAGTTTTGGCCACCGTATTTTAGTGTTCGACTATTGGCCGAGTGACTGTACTAGCCTAGTGAATGTGATGCAATGAGTGTCACGCCCACATCTAGTGATCGATTTAACCCTCAAAAATACAAACCTAGAAAGTGTGTCTTCACGTTTTCAGAGCGCTGATATTTTGGGATTAATTAAAAATGTTTGCCGGGTATTAGGAGGGGGTGTATAACTCGAAGAATCGACCTATAAGTTTTTTTTTTTTTTTTTTTTTTATAACAGTGCCTTCTGTGGCCATATTGCAAGCTGAATTTCTAGAATAGCAGAATACTACCAACATGGAAGTGTGCTGTGTGCGGGGAAATCGAGTACTCTTGCAGAATGGTGAGGTTTCACCGGCTACAATAACGATTGCTAATGGCATCATATCGGCTATAACTAGAGGGAACCACGATGATGTCGGCTCAGGAGTACAGGTTAGTTGAAGTAGGAAGTACTCACTAGTGACTTTTTGAAATACAAAAGGCACCGTATTGTCAGTGTTATAAATTCACGCAAATAATGTGGTAGACATCGGGGCTATCAACTCTTAACAGTTAATGGGCCCGATGAAAAGTTGGTGGACCAGTGCTGTTAAAA